GAGGGAGGGGGGTTGGGATAGGGGGGCAAGGGTGGGGCAAGGGTGGGGGGTTTAGGGGGAGGGTTATGGGGGTAGGAACCGTCATTTTTACAAACGGGACACCGTAGATACCCCAAACGAACTGGTGTAAGCGACTGGTGTATAAGTAACTGGTGTCATTTTAGACGCTCCATGTGTGTGTGTGTGTGTGTGTGTATGTATGTATGTATGTATGTATATATATATATATATATATATATATACACACACACACACACACATACACACACACACACAGATATATATATATATATATATATAGACACACACACACTTTCCCCTTAAAAGTCCAAATGAGAAAAGTTTTAAGGGGCGGGGTCAATTTTATTGTAACACCCAACCTGCATAACCCAAATAAATAGGTTAGCGAACCGGGTTGCTACTAGATTGGTATCCACATACAATATTTCCTAATAAATTAAAACATTTAATTTAAAACCCAAAAAATTCAAAATCATTTAAATACATATCGGAGTTTATACAAACAGTGCAGAAGCCTTATAATTAAATCAAACATTAAATCCCTGCATCCGTACATCTCCTCCGTCATGCTGCTCTCCGGGATGGATTCCAGAATCAATCTACCACAACCACCTACGTGTAGCAAATAGGAAAAAGGGCTACACGCTCAGCATTGAAGCTAAGTGAGGAATATCTAACAGTTCGAACATACACATAGGCGAATCCACTAATTCACAATTATCACATGATATCATACACACAACATGCTTGGCAACAATCATACGGCATATAAGATATAACATGCATAGTCAACGTCACAATAGTTCATAAGATACAAGCAATAAGGATATAAGTATTAGGAACTTTCCTATTTCTTTTACTTTACTTTCTTTATCGTACTTGGCTCTTAACCTATACCAGGTTAAAGCTTAACTGAATTCGACTTGCCTATGGAGTCATGACCTTCCCCTTCGAAACGAAGATCAAGCTCAAACCAACTCAGGAGTTCCTCGTTGGGTGGGTGAGATCCCTGTCCCCTTCGGAACGACAGTTCTTAGATCCACGTGTACACGTTTTTACCCGAACAGCCATTGGACCCAGCAGGTAGAGGTGAGCATGGTACGGTATGGTACGGTATTTAGCTCGTACCGATACCGTACCAAATATTTCGGTTTGGTATGGGATTTTACCTCGTACCGATCCCGATCCCGAAATATCGGTTCGGTATGGTTCGGGATGGTTCGATATCGGTTTCGGTACAAATCGGGATGAATATACATACCAACTTTACACGTTAAAATTTAACAGTACCCCTTTATTTTTGAAAATAAAAAAGTGAATTTAAATAAAAAAACATGAAAAATTAAAAAAATAAATATTTAAATGTAATAGATGCGTATCAAAACTTAGTTTATATTTCACAAACTAAAAAACAAACGACAATAAAGGAGTATTTCAAATATTTGTGAATACTTTTATGTTCATACACAAAAATAAAAACCTAAATAAAAGTATAATTTACACATAATAGAACTCAAACTAATTTCTTTTTAAAAAAAATTACCCGGAGTATTATTAAGTGAAGGAATATAAAAATATTACTCCGGGGTATTATTTTTTATAATATTTTAGCATATATGTTCGGTTCGGGATTTTCGGTATGGGACATCCCCTCGTACCGTTCCCAAATACCGTACCGACCATTCGGTTTGGTATGGTTCGGTTCCTTCTCGGTATTTTTTCGGTTCGGTATTTTTCGGTTCGGTATTCTCAGTTTTTTCGAGAAATTTCGGTATCGGTTCGGTACTTGCTCACCCCTACCAGCAGGTACCACATGGCTCTAACTAACTATACTTATGGCATACCTTGCCACTAATCCATTCAGGTCATTTCCTAGAGATTCTTCTAGGTGATATATCCAACAATCATTAATCAACACATAATACAACATTCATAAATCTACAATGCATTTAAAACGATATCCAACATATTCAAATAGCGGCCTAACACTGGGTGTGAACACCCATGTTTACCGTCATGCAACACACGAAGTCTCGGAATCAATCCTTGACGAAAACACAGATCGACGAACCCGGGATCAGGTACCACACGGTACCTGTCACGGTACGGGGTACCGTCCTTACGGTACCTGGGTACCGGTCCTACGGTACTGGGGGTACCGTCCGAATTAAGTGAGCTCTTCCGATAGGACGGTCACGATAGCCGACTACCGACTGGGCGGTAGGGCCTACCGTCCGTCTGGTACCTAGGTACCGAACGGTCACAGCTACCGACAGAGAGAACGTAAACATACAGAGTGTGACGGTAGCACGATACCGTCCCGGCGGTACCGCCTATCGTCTAACGCAACACTTTCTAGCTTCGTACCTGTTTTGCTTTTCAGCATCAAACCAACAACAATCTCGTAACCACCAATACCATTAGATTCATAATAACGTTCTAAACATTATCAAGCACACTAATTCTTCAATCAACGCCTAAATCATGCATACTACCCTTTTGATTCAACGATAACCATTCCCGAAACCACAATCAACAATTACACAGATAAATCACATAGATCAACCACAATAACAATCATGAACGGAATTTCAAACCTAGATGCATATTCTAGTGTTAGATGTCCACGTACTCACCTCGTTGGTTCGATTCAGTTCCAAGGAACGTCACTCGGAGCCCGTCACCCGGATTGGTCATCGAAACTTCCCCCTTCTGCCAGATCAACTTGCTGCCCGAACCCAGTCACTCAAGGCCCAGACTTCGCCAGTCGCTGGAGGTCACTCGCCGGAGCACCCCGCCGTTTAATCGCCGGAATTCGCTGCTGCTCCCCACGTCATCGACAAAATTGCAATCGCCGGAAAAGTGGAGGGTTACCGGTCGTCGCTGCATCACAGCTGGCGCACCCCTCGCTGGCGCTGCTTCTGCTCGGGTCCAATCGCGAGGTCGCGTTGCCGGTGGAGGGGGGGGGGGGG